TCTATTAAAACTATAAAACTTTAAATAATAATATAATTTAAAACTAATTCCCTTTACTAATTATATAAGATATTATAAATTAATTAAAAGGAACCTAGTACTTTACAAAGTTTAATGTATAAAACAAATTTAATAAAATAAAGATACAGAAAAAAGATAAATAGCTTATAGTGTTTAGAACTCTATAAAGACTTTATAAATTACTAGTAATGCTATTTAGTCTAATAAACACCCTAGCAACATTTTAGCAAATTATTAATATAGCCCTTAACTTATACCTTAATGTCTTTACCTTAGTATACCTAGATAACGTCCTTATCTATTTAAAAAATACCCTAGAAGACTATGTACAAAAAGTACAGAAGGTCTTAGAATAACTTAGAAAGTATAGACTTTATCTACAGCTCTCTAAATGTAAATTTTATATTACTAAAACAGAATACTTAGAATTTATAATTAATAAAGAAGAAATAAAAATTAACTTAGCTAAAGTATAAAAAATGCTTAAGTAGCTAGAACTAATAATAGTTAAAAAAGTAAAAGAATTCTTAAAACTATTAGGCTACATTAGACAGATAATTAAAAACTATTTAAAAATTACTATACTATTAATAAACACTATAACTAAGGAGTAGGCAGCAGCAAAGTTTATCTAGACTCTAGAAATAAATAAAGCATTTATAATGTTAAAACAAGCTATAACAAATAAACTAGTGCTAAGAATGTACAACTTATAACTAGATATAAAAATCTACACTAACACATCCCTTAGAGCTAGCAGAGCTGCGTTATATTAGAAACAAGAAGACAGAAAATAGCACCTAGTTGTGTACTATTCTGCTAAGTTCTTAGAACCTAAAGCAGGCTATAGCATACTTAATAAAGAGCTAAAAGCAATATTAAATGCTATAAGAGTTTAGGCTACTAAGCTACACAAAATAGTAAAACTATTTAATGTTATAACTAACTATGTAAATCTAGTTATGTTTCTAACAGTAAAAAAGTTATTACTAATGCACATAAAATAAGTAATAGAGCTTGCCTAGTTTAACTACATTATTAAGCATGTCCCTAGAGCATAGAACTAGCAGGCTAACACTCTTAGCTAGAGACTAGACTACTTTAATAAAAAAAAAGAAGGGATAAAAAAGTTTACACTCTTTAAAAAAACTAATAAAGAATAGATTTATAATAAACCTTAACTTATAAAAAAGTCCTACATGCTTATAGCTAGTAAGTAAAAATAAAAAAACTTAGTCTAAAAATATTATAAATTCTTAATGTTTAGACATTTAGAAATTAGCACTTTTTAGAAAAAACTAAGGGCTGCTATACTATAATAAATACTAAAGGTAAAGCAACTATGTACTAAAGTGCTTAGAGAATGCAATATCTGTAATAAGAACAACTTATAAAGGCATAAAGCTTATAAATACCTTTAACTAATTAAAGCACTAAAGTTACTATAGATAATAATTATAATAGATTTTATTATAAGATTACCCCTGTCTAAAGAACTAAAAACAGACAGAATGTGCAACATAATTATAGTAGCCTTAGATAAAACTACTAAGTATCTACACACTTAGCCCTTAAAAAAGATAATAACTACTAAAGAATTTATTTATAAATTAAAATAAAATGTAATATTAGTACATAAATGCCTTAAGACTATTATCTCTAACTAAGATAAACTATTTACTAGTAGATTCTAAAAAGCAGTAATGTAACACCTTAGTATAGCATATAAGCTATTAATAGTATACTACTTATAAACAAACAGTTAGACTAAAAGAGCAAATGTAAAGGTAAAAAGATATTTAAGAAAGTACATTTTCTACACTTAAAATAATTAAGCAGAATAGCTTCTAATAGCATAACTAGCTATTAATAACATAGAGTTAGCTATAATAAAAAAAACACTATATAAGGCTAATTTTAGATACAACCTTTACTTTACATTACACAGAAATTAGCCTACTAACCTGTAAGAGTTAATAGACTAGCTAATAAATCTATGTTAGATATATAAAAAATTAGCTGTAAAAGCTAGATCTAGCAGAGAAACAATAAAGAAATATGTAAACAAATTATAATAACTAGGACTAGAAATCTACCTAAAAGACTATGTCTATCTTAACATAAAAAACCTTAAGATACCTAGGCCTTTAAAAAAGCTAGCAAAAAAAAAATAAAACTATATAAAGTCTTTTAAACTTAGTAAAATAACTATAAGCTTAAGCTTCCCCTACATATAAAAATACACCTGTAGTTTTATATTTCTAGGTTAGAAAAAGCACTTAAGGAAATTCCTTTATCTATGCAAAAATAAAAGGACAAAGAAATAAAATATAAAGTTAAACACATAGTAAGTAATTAAAAGAATTAAAAAAAATTTCTAGTAAAATAAAAAAAATAGCTTACTAGTAAAAACATATAAGAACTAGCTAAGAACTTAAAGAACACACAGCTGTTAGTATAAAAGTATCTCTAGGCTTATCTAAAAGAAACTAGCTAGGTAATAAGGCACTTATATTAAAAAGAATAGCTACATTATTACTAGATAGCAGCAGCTTTTAGAGACAAGTCCTAGCTAATAATAGTTAAAAAAGGAAACAACTCTTTACTTTAGCTTTAAGGGCTTTTATCTTATTTAAAGAGAATAAATTCTTTTCTAGGTACTTTACATAATAAGCCTCTAGCAGATTTAGAGATTTTTAGATATAATTTTATTTAGAATGCTCTCTATCTATTGCCTTTAGCGTCTTCTTCTGTAAACAAAGCTGCTTCTAATCCTGCGCTAGTTTTTCCTAGTCTTAAGCCTGTTACTTATCCTATAACGCGTAGTTCTAGGCCTTTAAGGCCTTAGCTTTATAAAGAAGCGCTTTCTTCTCCTTCTCTAAATAATTCTACGTAGCATTAGAAATAAAGGCATTACATTTATTATGCTTTTTTACACACTTAACGCACTTGTTTAAGGATAAAGTTAACACATAAAACAACTTTAAAAATTAGTAAGTGCTATAAGGCCTTATCTTTATCTAGTAAAGAGAATTAAAATAATAAGTAACATAAAGATAGTAAAACAAATAAGACTAGCAAGCTATTTAGTATAAAATAAATAAATGTTAGAAATGCTTTTTAGTAGGTAGACACCTACCTTATAAATAAACTTTTACTAACATAGTTGTGTAAGCAGAGCAGTAAGGACGCTGCTAGGGAGAGAGGGCAGCGTGTTACAGTCTATAGTTAGACTAGCGTAACCCTACTAGTAGTGCTCTATAATCTAGCCAGTTTAGGGCAGGGCTCGCTTACAGACTAATTAGAGGACGCAGAGGTAGCGCAGCTACTTAAGATTATAAAAGAATGCGTTGTCTAATAAGAGGACAGGCTGCAAATTAAAAGGAGCTTAAGGGAGCTTAAGGGAGCTTATAAAAACCCCTCTTAAAGGGCTCCTACAAACTCCTGCTAACTCCCCTTAGCGTCCTCTACATATGTATATAGTTTCTATATTAAACAACCTTTAGAAGGTGTGTTTAATGTTTAGTTTATTTTTTACATAGACTAAGTAGCATTTAGCTTTCTAAAGAGCTGTAATACTATTTATATATCTTACACTATATATACCTCTAACCCTATCTGCAAGGACTGTTTAACCCAGCCACCCTACTGCCGCATTAAGGGCAAACCACAATCTAGTCTCCCTACATCACCCTCCATTAGCCCAATAGCCTGTACGTAGGACTGTACACCCTACCGGATTGGCCCCTACCTCCCGTCCTACTTCTCCCCTAGGAATATCTACAGACCTGAGTGCTTCCCGAAGCAAGGATTGTAACAGTTATGTGGAACTAGCCTAGAGCTTTAAAAGCTTGCGCAGATATTCTCCTTTATAATTAACTAGTTATAGGCAGTGCAGAAGGCTAGTAGAAACTTAAGCTTAGTAATATAGTTAATGT